ATCCGTGGCCTTGTCTAGATTGTGTGACCATCAGTCAGTCCCAGGACGACCTACACGAATCTTTGGGGTCGGGCACTCCCGGAATCTGGAGTCCTGAGGCTGTGCCAGGCCCTGTGCCAATCACAGCTGCAGAGATGCTGGGCAAGTAACCCTCAGTTTCGCCCTGAACCAGGTTCCCCATCTGTGACAATGTGATAACCCTTTAAAGTGGATGCTGAAATGGCCATGGTAGCTCATGCCTGTCATCCCAGAATTGAGGAGACTGAGGCTGGAGAACTCACAGATGGCTACATAGTTAAGTTTGAGGTCAGCCTAGGCAACATGAGGTCCTGTATCAGAAGACAAAAATGGCGGGGGGTGGGGGTGGGAGAGGACGGGACACACGGACGGATCAGTGGACAAAAGCACTTGTTGCACAAGCCAGGTCCAAGTTCAGACTGAACCCATGCAAAAACCAAACACAGTAGCGTGCATCTGTAACCCCAGCACTACTATGGTGAGATGTGCAAATGGGAGACACACACCCCCAAAGTTCCCAGGCCAGCCAAAGTGTAGTATGTAGCTCAGGAGCAAAAGGAACAAGAGACACTGGGCCTGGACAGATGGCTCAGTAGTTAAGAATACTGGTTGCTCTTGCAGAGAGGATCTGGGTTCAATTACCAGCAACCATATGGTAGCTCACAACCATGTGGAACTCAAGTCCCAGGGGATCCAACCCTTTTCTGGCCTAGAGCATGACACACATGTGGTACACAGACATACATGTAGGCAGAACACTCATATACATAAAAATAAAGAGCTGAGCAGTGGTGGCACACACCTTTAATCCCAGCACTTGGGAGGCAGAGGCAGGTGGATCTCTGTGAATTTGAGGCCAGCCTGGGCTACAGAGTGAGTTCCGGGACAGCCAAGGCTACACAGAGAAACACTGACTCAAAAAAAAAAAAAAGAAAGAAAGAAGGAAAGAAAGAAAGAAAGAAAGAAAGAGAAAATAGAAAAGAAAGGAAGAAAAAAGAAAGAAAGAAAAAGAAAAGAGAAGAAAAAAGAAAAGGAAAGGAATACTGACATGCTACAGCACAGGCTACAGCACTGATGAACCTTGAGAATATTGTAGGAAACCATACATGAAAGGAGCCAGATGCAAAAGGACTCATATTTTATGATTCTGTTTGTGTGAAATGCCTGGATTGGGAAAATACAGAGATCAGAAAGATTAAGTTACCTGATGCTAGAATGAAGTGACTGGGTTTAGGATGTGCAGGTCACCCATAAAGTGGGAAGAGAAGAGAAATGTCCTAAAACACAAGTATCACATCACTCGTCAGGATTCCTTCTTTTCCAAAACAAGCAAGAAAATAACATGTATGGGTGAATATGATGATTGTCACCCAACAACATGAACATACCACAAAACAAGCAAATACTTTAAATGAGCATGTGAATTGTAGTTCAGTAAAGCTGTTGGGAAAAAAGTGCACTTATGTGAGCATTCTAGTCAAAGCCCTACAGATCCTCCTCCTGGGACTAGACTACATGCCACTCCCCTCACAGTGGAAAAAGACAGGGCCGGGCGGGGATACTGCTCAGTTAGAGAGCTTCTCTGGCATGCATGAAGCCTTGGGTCCGAGCCCCAGCACCACATAAACCAGGCCTGAAATTAGCATTTGGGAGGTGGAGGCAGCAAGATCAAAAATTCAAGGTCTTTGGCTACATAGCAAGTTCCAGGCCAGCCTGACTACATGAGACCCTGACTCAAATAAATAAGAAAGAAAAGATGGAAGGAAGGAAGGAGTGAAAGGGGGGAGACAGGACTGGAAAGATGGCTTAGCCTTTAAAAATGGTGCCTGTTCTTGCAGAGAACTGTTCCCAGCACCCACTCCAGTGGTTCTCAACAAACTGTAATTCCAGCTATGGAGTCCTGAGCCCTCCTCTGGCTTCCTCAGGCACCAGATGCAGGTGCACATCAGACAAGCAGGCATATATAGTTAAATATAGTTAAATCATACATACAGTTAAAAATAACAGGCCAGCCATGCTATCACATGCCTTTAATCCCAGCACTTAGGAGGAAGAGGCAGGGGGATCTCTGTGAGTTGGTCTACAGAGTGAGTTCCAGAACATCCAGGACTACATAGAAGAGACCCTCTCTAAAAAAAAAAAATTACGGGGTTGGGGATTTAGCTCAGTGGTAGAGCGCTTGCCTAGCAAGCACAAGGCCTTGGGTTCGGTCCTCAGCTCTGGAAAAAAAAAAAAAAAGACAAAGTAACAAAAAAATTACAAATTTTTAATTTTTTTCATTTAAAATTTTTTAAATTTTTTCAGATTTTTTATGAGTATGAGTGTGCACTCTGCATGTGCAGCACCCTCAGAAGTCAGAAGAGGGCATCAGATCCCCTGAAACTGGAGTTCTAGATGGCTGGGAGCCACCATGTGTGTGCTGGGAACAGAACCCAGGTCCTCTGCAAGAGCAGCAAGCGCTCTGAAGGTGGAGCACCTCCCACCCTCACATAATGTTTAAAGACGTCTTGACCTCACCTCTTGTCACTCTTCTTGTTCATTCAGCTCAGCCGTACCAGCCGTGACTTAGGGACACAACCACACTCCTACATCATGGCAACTCTCCTCCCCTCCCCCTTCCCTCTTCATGTCCTCTCCCAGCAATAGTGGGCTGTTTTCCTCACCTCTACACCTGTATTCAGATGTCTGGTTGTGCATTTGAGGCAGAGTTTCTCTGTGTCCCAGCAGCTGCTCCCAAATAACCATACAGAGACTTATTATTAATTATAAATGCTCCACCAATAGCTTAGGCTTGTTTCTAACCAGCTCTTACAACTTAAATTAACCCATTTCTATTCGTCTATGTGCTCCCTCGAGGCTGGTTTACCTCATCTGTGAACTTCCCATGTTGCTGCTTCTGAGTCTGGAGACTCTCATGACTCCCCAACTCCGCCCTTTCTTCTTCCTAGCCTTCTCTCTGTCCCAAAAATCCTGCTAGCCATCAGCCAGTCTGCTTTTTATTAAGAATGAGAGCGGCATGTCCTCACAGTGTAGAAAAAGATTGTTCCACAACATGCATTGTTTTGTTTTTTATGTACATTGGTGTTTTGCCTGCATATATGTCTGTGTGAGGGTGTCAGATCTCCTGGAACTGGAGTTATAGACAGTTATGAGCTGCTGTGTGGGTGCTGGGAACTGAACCCGGATCCACTGGAAGAGCAGCCAGTGCTCTTAGAGCCATCTCTCCAGCCACTGGTTATGTTTTGTTTCGTTTTTTATTTTGACAGAGTCTCATTGTGTTGTGCAGACTGTCTTTGAATTTCTGGACTCAAATGGTCCTTCTGCTTCTGACTCCTAAATAGCTAGGACCATAGATGTGCCAATGTGTCCTACCAGATCCAACTAAATAATTTTTTCTGCTCTGGGGATGTAACTCAGTGGTAGAGTGATTTCCCTGAGTACATGGGACCCTGGATTCAATGCTCAGGGGACACACACACACATTAATAAATAATGTCACATTCTTTTCTTTTTGGACAAGGACTTTCTTTGTAGTCTTGGTTGTTCTGGAACTCACTATGTAGCCCAGGGTAGCCTTGAACTTGCAATCCTCCAACTTCAGCCTCCAGAGTACTTGCATTCCATGTCTGAGTCAACAAGCCCTGCTTTAGGAAAGAATATTCATGGTTAAGATCTGAGTGGGTAATAAGATTTGATCCATTAATAACCTGGTTTCCGTTTCACATCTCCCTGCGTTTGTTTGTGTGTGGGAGTGGAGTGTTTGTGCCTCTGAGAGCACATGTACACCATGTTTGTCCAGAGCCTGTGGAGCAGAAGAGGGTATTGGACCTCCTGGAACTGGAGTTACAGGAAGTTGTGAGTGCTGCCATGTGGGTGCTGGGAACTGAACCTAGGTCCTCTGCAAGAGCAGCAAGTGTTCTTAAAGGCTGGGCCATTGTTCCAACCCTTCTCCTAGTATTCTTACCTCATACTTCTTTGAAAACAGTGTTTCCAGGTGCATTCCATCCCAGACAAGGGAGGTAAAGGTCACAGACAGGCTGACAGGTGAAGGAGACCTCTGCCTATCAGGGTCCGTCTCCTAGACTTGGGATTAGGTACAAAGCACACCCAAACACCTGTTTTCACAGAGAGATCCTGTATTCGTGGAGGGGGAAGTGGGCGATAAAATGACTGTTTTCTGACTCAGGCAGAAAATAACAGCAAATGACCTTGCAGGTATCATTTTGTTTGTTTGTTTGTTTGTTTGTTTGTTTGTTTGTTTTTCGAGACAGGGTTTCTCTGTGTAGCTTTGAAGCCTGTCCTGGAACTCACTCTGTAGCCCAGGCTGGCCTCGAACTCACAGAGATCCGCCTGCCTCTGCCTCCCGAGTGCTGGGATTAAAGGCGTGCGCCGCTGCCGCTCAGCGCAGGTGTCATTTTTAAGAGGAGAAAAAAGGGAGGTCTGTATTAGCATGGGCTGGGATTCCGTGGTAAAAGAGATAGAGGACGGGAGAAGGGGAAGGGGACAAGGTAAAGGGGCAGGGGTATTTGTCTTGGGGGAACAAAGGACTGCCTCTGGATAGAGAGGATTCAGATGTGACGCATAGGCAAATGGCAGTTTATAAATGTAAAATGTGCCGGGTGGTGGTGGCACATGCCTTTGATCCCAGTACTAGGGAGGCAGAAGCAGGCGAATCTCTGTGAATTCAAGGCCAGCCTGGTCTACAGAGATAGTTTCAGGACAGCCAGGACTGTTTCACAGAGAAAGCCTGTCTTAAAAAACCTATAAATAAATAAATAAATAAATAAATAAATAAATAAATAAATAAATAAATAAATAAATAAATAAATGTAAAATAGGAAGCCTATTATTAAGATGAGGTGCTTAATTTTAATTGGGTATGTTAATTAGGTGAACCAAGGGGCGGGTTTTTTGTTTGTTTGTTTTTGTTTTTGTGGAGTTTTTTTGTTTTGTTTTGTTTTTTTCAAGTCAGAATTTCTCTGTGTAGTTTTGGTGCCTGTCCTGAATCTCGCTCCGTAGACCAAGCTGGCCTCAAACTCACAGAGATCCGCCGGGCTCTGCCTCCCAAGTGCTGGGATTAAAGACGTGCACCACCACCGCCGCCGCCTGGCCCAAAGAACATTTTTGATTGCTGGATTTCAATACTTTGATAGCTGGACTTTGGTAGTCTGCCTCAGGAGAAGGAGGTGGCCAAATAAGGGAATAGACCGTGGGGGCCAGCTTTAGGAGTGTAATCTTTAGGGAATGGGGGGAGGGACAAGGCCTGCCAGAGCCACGTGCTCCAGTGGGCCAGTGTCCCGTCAACACTAGTGTGTGTCCAGTGAACTGCCTTAAAATGGTGGATGAAATAAAAGAAGTGAGATGAAAATATCCATTCTGGCCAGGCTGGTTGGTATATGGCTGTAATTCCAGCATTACAGAGACTGAGGCAGAAAGGATGTGAGTTCAAGACCAACTTGGGCTGCACAGAGGCACCCAATCTCAAAACAAACAACAAAAACCCCTCCTTTCCTCCAGGGTTACCGTCTGGAGTTCCTGTGCATCAGGGTGAGATGCTCCAAGGAATTAGAATTGGAAAGAGGCAGGGAATGTATGGCTGGCTCCTCCACTTTGCCAGTTGTGTGTGTTGGGGGCCGGCAGGGCGACCAACCATGGCGCCTGTACTTGGTGTCAGCCCCCATATTCCGGGTAGTGGGGTGGATCTCTCAAGGGTGCCCCACGTCCTGCGTGCACCCCCTGGTCCCTCCACTGCTCCAGGGGCGGTGTGGCATGCCTGTGAGCAAACTCAGTCTAAAGCGGGGAGAATCCCGGGACCGGAGCGGGGAGCCAGGGGAGGAGAGCCGGGGAGTGGAGCCAGGGTCATCCGACAGCAGCTCTCCTGGCGGCAGGCCGGCCGCAGCGGGGGGGGACCGTCCTACACCCTGGGTGCTCGCTCCTCCTCCCGTCCCCTGCGCATCCCTGCTCGCGCTCCTGGAGCTCGGCAGAGTCTCACTGGGGCGCTGCCGCGAGGGAGCTTCAGGCTCACCAAAACCGGGACCGCCGCGGAAACCAGGGCAGGGTCCGCTTCGCTGACACCATGAATGGCTCGGGCAGCCTGGGGGCCGAGGACACGAGCCAGGAAGTCAGCGGCGGCGGCTGGCAGCCCGAGGCGGTCCTCGTGCCCCTGCTTTTCGCGCTCATCTTCCTCGTGGGCACCGTGGGCAACGCGCTGGTGCTGGCTGTGCTGCTGCGCGGCGGCCAGGCGGTCAGCACCACCAACCTGTTCATCCTCAACCTGGGCGTGGCCGACCTGTGCTTCATCCTGTGCTGCGTGCCTTTCCAGGCCACCATCTACACCCTGGACGGCTGGGTGTTCGGCTCGCTGCTCTGCAAGGCCGTTCATTTCCTCATCTTCCTCACCATGCACGCCAGCAGCTTCACACTGGCCGCGGTCTCCCTGGACAGGTGGGCGAGCATTCTGTTGTCTCTGAGAACTGGGTACCCAGGGAGGGGCTTGAGTTGGAGCCTCAACTCAGGGATGCAGGAGGGATGCGCAGAGTGGGCAAGAGTACTGAAATCACAATAGCCTGAAGCAGTGAAACGCGAGCGTGAGTGGAGGAGAAAAAGGATTAAGAGTCAGTGACTAAGAATGTCCCTCAAGCCGGGCGGTGGTGGCGCACGCCTTTAATCCCAGCACTCGGGAGGCAGAGCCAGGCGGATCTCTGTGAGTTCGAGGCCAGCCTGGGCTACCAAGTGAGTTCCAGGAAAGGCGCAAAGCTACACAGAGAAACCCTGTCTCGAAAAACCAAAAAAAAAAAAAAAAAAAAAAAAGAATGTCCCTCGATTAAGTCGGACCTCGAAGGCTGGAGAAATCAGCCCTCTGGATTCTTCACATTATTATTGCTTGAGCTTAATGCCTCTATGAAACATTACCGTACTCAGAGCTAGTGTGTAAGTAACTTGCCAGATGGTAATTGAATCCTACAGGGAAGCCTCTGTTTCTCGGGACCTGGACCTTTGTCTGGCGTCTTAGGCTTGGGACTGGGCTGTGTGTGGGGAGGATCCGTGCTGAAGTCCAAGAGAGTGTGAGTGAGGGCTCCTCGCTGCTCCCAAATACCCTCCAGGCCAAGGCTCCTGGCCAGGGAAGCCAGCGGTTTGATGTTCCCGCTCTAGCTAAAGAGCAGAGAAAGAGAAACTTCTAGAATGCTCTGGAGGGATCCTGGCTGGAAGACACTAGGAACAGGTCCTAGGGAGGAAATCCCGATATGATTCTGTTATTTCCCACCCTTCCCACATCATTTGGACCTCCCCACGGAAGAGCAGTCAAGAAAGGCGGTGATCCCCATTCTCCTCCCATTTCCATGGTGTGCAAGGTGTGGGTTCTGAGGCTGCTGGTGGGACACACAGAACTTCAGCTTTCTTCAGGAATTTCCTCGCTGTTCCTTAACCTAAGTCTCATCTGTCAGAGCCTCAGGCACTAGGGATCTGCCTTCCCCAGGTTGTCAGTGAAGGAGAATAATCACTGCCCTCAAGAGTCATGGCAAGGGCTGGCGAGATGGCTCAGAGGTTAAGAGCACTGACTGCTCTTCCAGAGGTCCTGAGTTCAATTTCCAGCACCCACATGGTGGCTCACAACCATCTGTAATGAGATCTGGCACCCTCTTCTGCATACATAGTAAATAAATAAATCTTTTAAAAAAAAAAGTCAAGGCAAATTCTCCAACTTTTCGTCGTCAGTGGTTTTGGGATGCCCTCTGGAGTGGAGTAAGTCGGTAGCCACATTCGTAGGGACAGCCGATGAATGTCCTAGACTCCCGACATTATTGCTACCAGGTCCTGTCCTAATTCTAGGATCAAACAAATATCAGATGCACTGGACCTGCCCTTCAGACATAGGCCATATAACCTTACATTTGAGGCCTTCTCCCAGAGCTAGGGTAGGGTTGGCGGTGGTGAGTCCTCTCGTTTCCCGGACACATCCCTGGCTCCGCACTGTTCCACAGGTATCTGGCCATCCGCTACCCGCTGCACTCCCGCGAGCTGCGCACACCTCGAAACGCGCTGGCGGCCATCGGGCTCATCTGGGGGCTCGCACTGCTCTTCTCCGGGCCCTACTTGAGCTACTACCGTCAGTCACAGCTGGCCAACCTGACCGTGTGCCACCCAGCGTGGAGCGCGCCTCGACGCCGCGCCATGGACCTCTGCACCTTCGTCTTCAGCTACCTGTTGCCTGTGCTCGTCCTCAGCCTGACCTACGCGCGTACCCTGCGCTACCTCTGGCGCACAGTCGACCCAGTGGCTGCAGGCTCGGGCTCCCAGCGCGCCAAACGCAAGGTGACACGCATGATCGTCATCGTTGCCGCGCTCTTCTGCCTATGTTGGATGCCCCACCACGCGCTTATCCTCTGCGTGTGGTTTGGTCGCTTCCCGCTCACGCGCGCCACTTACGCGCTGCGCATCCTTTCACACCTAGTTTCTTATGCCAACTCGTGTGTCAACCCCATCGTTTACGCGCTGGTCTCTAAGCATTTCCGTAAGGGTTTCCGCAAAATCTGCGCAGGCCTGCTGTGCCGCGCCCCAAGGCGAGCCTCAGGCCGAGTGTGTGTTGTGGCGCCTGGCAACCATAGTGGCAGTGTGCTGGACCGCGAGTCCACAGACCTGACCCATGTGAGCGAGGCAGGGGGGCCTCTTGTCGCAGCACCCGGACTTCCCAACAGCACAGCCTCGAGTAGAGCCCTCGATCCTGTAGGTTAAAGGATCAAAGGGCGTCTAAGGACATCTTCACAGTGTGGCCTGAGAACACCTTGGGGGTTATGCTTGAATGTTCGAGAGTTGCAGCCCAAGACTGAGAATTGTAGGGAATGCTCTCTGATATTAAACTGCACAGATTGCTAGTCACGTGACATAAGCCTTCAATCCCAGCACTTGGGAAGTTGAAGGAGCAGGAGCAAAGCCAGCCTGGAGTCTGAGCCCCCCTTGAACTACACGAGATACAGTCTGAACAATAATAAAATTCTTAAAAGATTCAAACCATTTCATATGCTGTGATGCACGTGGGATTTTGACATGAAGCCCCAAGCCTGGGGTAAAAAGCCTTTGGGACTTTACAGGGCGTGGGAGGCTTCTCCTAGTGGGGTACAGTGCGCTTAGCTTAGCTACTAGGAAACTAAAATCCCTAACTGAAGCTAGGGATCCAGTGATGCCTACCATGTGCCCCCAACTTCCAGGTGCTAGTTGTCCATACCTAAGTTATCAGCCAACTCACGTGATCAAGACAAGCAACACATTTGAGGTGAAGCTGACTGATGGACAAATATCACGTGTTTGTGTTTCCAGCTTGTTCATGCACAATCACACTCTGAGTCTGGGCATCCTGACCAGTGCTTCACACTTGGCCCTACGTATGCTTTGCTGCCTACAACTGGGCAGGATCCAGTACCCCCATTTTTGCTTGGGGGTCAAAAAGTCACCGTCCAACAGATTCCATTCCACATAAACTACAGTGATTGATTCTGAGTACTTTGGGTTGGGGCAAGCTAATTCGGCAGGACAGGGATGCCCAGGGTTTCAGTCACTGGTCTCTATCTGTCCCTGAGTTCTTGAGCCAAGGCACTTTACATTAAGTATTTAAGGAGCAGCAAGGACAAAGATGTCTCCAACACACATCGTGGAGTGGGCTGACTTTGGCCAAGGCACCACTAAAGTGCACAGCCAGCCCTAATTAGGGCTTGTAGAAGAGACACAGTGGAGCTGGAGAGATGGCTCAGTGGTTAAGAGCTCCTCTTCCAGAGGTCCTGAGTTCAATTCCCAGCAACCACATAGTGGCTCACAACCATCTACAATGGTTTCTAATGCCCTTTTCTGGCATACGGCATATGAACAGACAGAACACTCATACATAAACAAATGAAAGATCCTAGGCTTGCCTCATAGGGCAGTGTTCCAGGTGCTGGAAACAGAGCAGGAAAGGATACCTAGGCAGGTGCAGTGGCTGGTCTCTGAGCTTTGTCTTTGGGTGTTTGTGGAACTGGACAGGAGAAGCATGCTTAGTTCAAGGCTGAGCCCTTCACAGAGCAGCTGCCTCCATCCAGTGGCTCAGTCCTCACAGAATGGGCTGAATGAAGTTTAGACCCTGCTGCTCTGCCCAGAGTCTGATGATGGCTCTGTAGATCCAGCTCCATCTAGCCTTTCTCCAGCTCAGCACCAACCAGCTCTTGGTCCAGAAGACCAGTTCCCAGGAATCAGCAGTTGGTAGGTAGAGGGCTCAAGGTTTTAAGTGTTAGGATTCAGGTCCTGAGATAAACCTGACCTCATCCATCAACCTGGCTATCCTTCAACACTGGAATTTCAGGAGGCCATCCAGATTCTGGAAAATGGGAGTGCACCACTGCTAATAAGCACGCAGGTGTTTGTGTCCAATGTGTTTAATTCGGTGAGTGCCCTGATGATGCAGCAAGGCACAGGCCTAGGGCCAAACTGGAAAGGGAACGGAATTCAGCCTTGGCTAGTGTTTGGGCTTCCTGTTAACTGTCCCAGTGGCCAACCAATGTGATGTCCCCTCCCCAGCACTTCCTGCAGCACAGTGCTGATGCTAAGGCTGGTGAGCTCCCACCTGGGGGAGGTAGAGGTGGGAACACATTCCTAACATTAGCTTTCATCAATATACTGAGTTTAAGGACACATGTGGAGAATGAGGCTTCACTGGACTCCTTGTGTCCCTAGTCCTGGCTGGATGCTCGTCTAACCTAGAATGTTAACATGCATTCCCAGCATGCAGTCACACTGCCCTGGAATTCACTCTGGACACCCACTCACATTCCAGGAAGTGTGAGGTAGGGATTTCAGGTGGGTACCACATAAGTCCCCCTCCTGCCCCTTCCGTCTCCAGATGCCTCTCAGGGAACATTTCCCTTCTGGTGGCTACCACAGTTTCATGTGCAAAGAATCTCTCCAGCACAGCCCTAGTGGGCTGGAAAACTGGGGGAGAGGTCTCCCCTGGCCCAGCACAAGAATGGGCTGGGCTCTGGCCATGGTGCTTCTCCCTGTAGGCTACGGGTGGACGGGAAGGTCCAAGACACACAAGCCTGAGCGGACCAGGATGGTCATGTGGAGTTAACTTGGCCCTAACCATGGAGACCAATTGTGTCGTTGAGCTCCTCCATTTCCTCAGGGACCACAGCGACTGTAGCCTCAGTTTCAACCCTTTCAGCAACACTGGTGCTCACAGAACCTGGGGTGTGAGACCGGGTGGGATGTTAGAGAGGCTGGTCTCCAGTCTAGCCTGGGCAGGGCTCTGTGACCTATCAGAGCAGTGTGCACGCCCTACCTCCCCCCCCACCCCCCACCCCCGCCCCCATCCCAGTCTTAGGGCAGCTGAATGGAGCACAGAGCTGCACAGTCCACACCCCCCACCAAATCGGTCCCTCTCGGGTTCCCAGTCCCCCTGCAGTGTCACAGCTGTTATCAGAGCTGCTCCACAATAGCTGCTTCCTGTCCCTTCAGTCTTCTTTCCCCAGAACAATTGCTTTCCACAGCCAGGGCCAGGCTAGTGTCTGGGCCAGGTGTGCCAGATTTAGAGGCTCATCTCCAAAGGCAACGGGGCAGCTACCTATGGTGAAATTCACATGCACCAAGTCACCAGATGTCACACTGGCTAGCGCTCCCAGGAAAGCCCACGGTTGCTGCCCCATGGCCCTAAAGTTTCTGGTGTGAGGTGGTGGACAGAGACGAATGTGCAATCACTTCCCTGCCATGAGGTGCTGCCAAGTGCATTTATTTCCAGGAGGAAAATTCATCTCTGAATCTAAGGCTCTTCGTTACCTGGAGGCCATCTGATGGGCTTTCAGAGGCTGTGAAAAGCTGTGGGTTGGCTCCCTCTCCCATTGCCCCCAGAGGCCATCAGAAGCCTGCAGCTTCCGTGGGCTTCAGTCTCTCTCCCTAGTTCACACTTCGCATCCTATCCCTTTCAGTGGTGGAGCTGGTGTTCCACACCCATGTGCTGGACGAGATTGTGTCAAGAGAGAATACGCAGTTCATGACTTGAAAGCTCAGGTCCCATGCCAGCATCCCATGCCCTGCTCCAGGTGACACTTCTACCTGGGAAGAGGCTGGTAGAGCCTGGTGGAGGGGAGAGGGATGGTATATTCCCAGAGGCATGGCAGTCTCCTTTCTGCCTGCTCCCTCCATATCTCAGGAAATGCCACTTTTTCCTTCCAAGCTGAACCTGAAGAACCCAGGGCTCAAGTCGACCCTGGCCAGGCTGGTTTCCAGGGAGACACTGCTGTCAGCTGGTATGTGTGAGGGTCTGCTGCGCTGGAACCACTGAGTGCATGGCCTACGAAGTAACACTGCTGCTCAGCTAGCTACCTGGCCTTCCACTCCTCCAAGGGCAGGCTCTGCCCAGTTCCCCTTCCTGCAATCCACTGCTCAGTAAGACACACACACACACACACACCCGCAGCCCCACCTAGTCACTAAGACTCGACAGTTCAGGGCCAGCCTCTGTCCCTTCATTGGCAGTTTACTTCTTCACCTGCTGTTGCTCTTCCTCCGCACCAAGGCTGCATCGAGATACACCCTGGAGACAAGAGCAGCCCCAACCCCGTGCCCAGAGTGGAAAAGAGTGACCTTCAGAAGAACCCAGGACTAGTGTGGGAGGTAGGCAAGGGCTAGGCCCATCTGAGAGTGTGGGGTCATGAGGAACGAGGCGCTGGAGTAGACTTAGCAGAAGGATCAGCTGCACACCGACAGCTGGCCAGACTCCTGTCTAGGTGTGCTGCGGGATCTCAGCATCTACTCTGCTGGCGCCTGGCTCTGGGGCTCACTTTATCCTCCCCAGGTAGAATCAGGTTTGAAGAAGGGCAGAGCCATGCCCTTGAGAGAAAGAAGTTCATGCCTGGCAAATTTCTCTAAAAGGGTGCTTCTTCCACTGGAGGATGCTTAGGAAGAGCCAGGCCCAAATTTTAATTAGTAGAGGATCTAAGAAGGAACACTCTGGACTAAGAACCCCTGTCTTTCACCCTTCTGCTCTGGAGGAATGTTCTGGAGCAGCCAAGAACAGTTCCTTTCCCTGCCAGCAGATCCTGAAGGAGGAAAGAGTTCAAGGAAGGGCCGGGCTACAGTTGTTGAGCACACCTTCTTCCTCATGTATGTGGCCAATGCAATATGCAGTCAGCTCGTGTATGTGGCCAGTCTGGATGTGGGACATGTGCAAGTCTGACCCAACCCCTTGCAAGGTAGCCTCCTGGTGGGCAGGCTGGTCTGTAATGGGGTGGGGCCTAGGAATACAGATTAAGGGTGCAGCATAGTTCCTACAGCCAGGTGAGAGCTAGAGCAGTGTCTCCAGAGAAGCGTCAGCTCCATTCTCTAACAGGAGGCTCATGCATCCTGAGCTCCCCTCTCTGTATAAAAGCAAAACAAGCCATCACCCAAATGCACCGTAAGGGCCTGCCTTCTTGAACATGGCTGTTCACTGCCATCCTGAGTAGTACAGCCTAACTTTACCCTCATGATCTCCCACTTTGCTCCTGAATTGCTCGCCTCTGTCCACTAGTTCTCTGTCCCGCATGCATTCAGCTTAAAGCCCCATGCAACTCACTGCCTGGGCCAGTGAGTACTGAAGCTGGGGACCAGGGAACAGATGACTGAGCGGCTGTCCCCACAGGGTGGTCCAGAACACCTTGCAGTGTGCCAGATACAAAGGGACCAGGACAGCTCTCCTGCCTCTTGTCACCAGGGAGTCCCAGGAGGTGGGACATCCCAGAGCCCAGAACCGTGGACAATGAACTAAATCCAAGAGAGGAGGTCGACACTGACAACCTTTCCTCTAGGTCTGCTGGCTGCCGTTTGGCCTGCACTTTGAGCCTGCTCACATCTGTGGGCTGAAGAGGATGGAAGCAGGCCAGGGTGGAGTCTGCCGTCCCATTCTTGGTATCCTCATGGCAGCTGGGGGCACCAGTCTCTGTCTTCCATGTCTTCTGCCTCAGAAGCCATCATGTGGCCCCTGCTGGGTGTGCATCATTGTGAAACCCAAGGTGTGAAAGGAGCCACATTCTGGGTGAGTGCTGGTCTGACAGGAGATGTGGGCCGCAGGGGAGATGCCAACACCAGGCCAGGGCTCCTGGGTGGGGCGCAAAGGTCTCTGTCGCAAAGGACTTCAGACTCACCTGGCCTGGAGGTATGTTAACACTAGTTTACCAGTCCAACAACATGTGAGTGTGGTGGAGCCAGGCAGAACGCTGGCAGGCTTAGGCAGAGGTGTCGAAAAGGCGATCGATCATGTCGCCCACCTGTTCCACACGGTACTTGATGTACTTCTCAGGGTTCTTGGTGAAGGGCACGCTGCCATACCTGACCAGGCACCATGGTAAGAGGTCAAGGGGAGGGCATCTCTACCCTCAGCCTCAGTGTCAGCATCCTTAACGCTCTGCCCGGGTGCTAAGATGGCAGGGCGCCCCTGAATTAGGTCCCAGAGCCCAGAGCACCAGACACGCCGTCCCACTCCATTGGAACTTTGTTTTTCCCCTCCCGAGGGAGAGAGCACATAGGTCACCTGGAAAGCGGACAGCAGAGGGCCTGGGGGGGGGGGGGCGGGGCGGGATGGGCTCACCTGTGCAGAAAGGCCCCATAGGTCTCCTTGACAATGTTTTTCTGAGCCTGTCGAATCTTGTCCCTCTGCTCTGTGTCTGGAATGGCCCAGGCCTTCTGAATCTTGCACAGCTCTTCAAGGCCATCATTGAATCCCTGACCACCAAACAGGCAGGAAGGAGGGACCAAGAGACAAAAGCTTTGTGTCTATGTCGCCACAGTGGCAGCCGAAATCAGTGGAAGGGAGGGCCTCGACTCACCTTGAAACGTTCCTTAATCATCTGCCGCTCCTTGTCCCGGAGCTGGGGGTCCAGAGAGCAGAGGAAGGCAGCAGAGAAAGCCAGGCTCAGAGCAGAACAACGCTGTCCTCTCCTGCCCCAACCCTCTCCTGCTGCCCTCATGGCCTCACACATCTCCATCTCACACATCCACAGAGATGCTGTCCATTCTTCCTAAGATACAATATCACATCGCCTCCCCAGTCCCTCCTGGCGCAGGTCTTGGACTTACCTTGACTCCAGGCTGGAAGACTGGTAGATTCTTCTCTGCGATATAATCGGTCACCTTTAACCAGCTGCCAGATAGCAGGGTGAGAAGAGAGAGACAGCGTCAGAGAGTTGTTTCTTCCATAAAGTCAGCTGGCTTGTTTTTCAAATCTCTCTACCTACTGAAGGTGGGGGCAGTAGGAATTATCTGGGTCAGGAGTAAGCAAAACAACAGAGATGCTCTCCTTGGGAACAGAAAATGTTTAAGCTGCTCGCTTTGACAATTAGGAACAGGAAGCAGAAGGCACTCAATAAACTGAACAAATGTTGCCGACCACAGCTCACATCAATATTGTGGCAAATTAAGATAGAGAAACAGATGGGAAGAGAAGGAGCAGAGAGCAGACAAACAGGAAGGAAGTGGGAGACACTCAGAGAGAAACAGGCCAAGGAAACCGGAGGACCAGAGAAGTAGCCAGAACCTTTCCAAGTTCAAGAGCTCTCACCCCGCTGTTCTCTAGGGCTAAACATTGTTCATCTCTCTCTCTCTGACAGTTCACTTTTCAACTATTCTTAGCCATGACACTGGGCAGATCACTCTGAAGAGGCTCCGTGGTCCCTGGGGAGCAGCTAGCAAAGGGAGGGAGGGGGGCTTCTCTCTCCACCCATGAATTAGATTTGAAAAACAAGAAGAGAAACAAACGCTGGGGCTTGGCTTAGTGGCAGGTCCCACACTGAACCTGTGCGAGGCCCTGGCTTTGAGGCCCAGCACTAAAACAAACCCCGAGAGGAAAGCAAACGGCGGGTTACCTTGACGTCAGTCAGCAGCTGCCGGCCTCATGCTATGAGGGGCTGAGCAGAGAGGGTGGTGGGTTCAGAAAGGACAGCAAGAGGGCTGGCGGCTGCTCACCTCCGCTGATAGGTCTGGATCTGCTGCTCGATGTGCTCCCGATAGGAACGCTCAGCAGTCTTCTGGGTCACAGCCACCAGCTGGATCAGCTCAGACCTGGGTGAAGGGGAAGAGAAAGAGAAAAGACACTCCTGGGTCCCAGAAGTCACTGGCCTTGGCAGCAACACTGGGAAGGAGGCTTCTTGTTTGGAACATTCCTAAGCTTTAAAGCAGAAGCATCCCTTGGGTGCTGACCGAGGAAACTAAAACACACAGAACGAGGAGGCTGTAGATGGTGCATCCAGCCCTGGAAGGCAGAGGTTGGCATGGCTGCCCAGCCGAGGCAGGGCCACTTACTTCTCCAGGGACTTGAGGATGTAGTTGTAATTGTTATGTAGGAAGATAGCGCTTAATGCTGGATCCTCATACACCTTGGACTTGCTCAGCAAGTTCAGCTGCAGGTTACCCAAGACTTTGCCTATACAGAAAGATGGGGCCACTTAACCACAAGTGTCTGATCCAAATGATCCAACCACTAGGGCCTGACAACTGTTCCTTGTTCTTCTGACTCCCAGGGCTCTGAAGCTCTTCTCAACCCTTGGATCCTGAACTAGGATGTAGGGTACTATTCCAAGGCCAGGACAGGGACCCAGGAACAGATGGACAGCACCGAGGCAAGAGATGGGGGAGAAGGAGTGGGTTCTGCCAGTGAAACTCACAGATATAGGTGCTCAGCAGGCGCTTGCTGAACTCGGAGCTGTAGCTGGTAGCCGAAGAGCTGGTTTCTGAGAGGAGATGTGCTGTGACTGTGGTGGCAGTGGCCAACACCCTTGATGGCCCTTCCCACACCCCAGGGGAGAGGAGGGATTGTTGGAGAGGCCCTGGGCTTTGTGGGCAGGCAGGACTGAAGGAAGAGCCTAAGCAGAGATGGGCACCTGCTGAGCTATAGGAAGCACAGTGGATTCTTTCTGGGTCCCAGGGCTGTCCTCCACAGTAATGGGTTAAGGAACCAGCCCATGAGAGCAGGCAGGCAGCTGGGAGAGGTGTGGGTCACCAACACCTTCCCAACCTTCTCAGCCTGGTCCCCAACGTAAGATGGGCAGTATCTATTAGATCCCTTTTACTTATTTGCCAACAGCAAGGGTTTCTGGACAGGGTCACCCAGTCTTTCCATCTTCTCCTCACAATCTCCTGATTCCCCCACCCCCAGTACCAGATGATATAGAATGGAACGCCAAGGGGAAAGGTTAGGCTAGCCAGGGGGTGTTCTTAGGGTGCTGGGCCCATTAGGGTGCTGCCTGGCTAGGCTTAGAGACAGCGGTAGCTATGAAGGGAAGAGGGAGAGATAAGGGCACCCCTGGAGAACTCATGTCCCTCTGGCCTGCCCTCAGTGAGTCCTGAGAACTGGTCCCCTGGGAACCTCACCCACCGGCCTCTGGAGGGGAGGATGGGGCTGGGGTGGGCACACTGCTTACCTCGGGGGTCTAAAGGAATATTGTATGTGTCCCCAAGAACTACGGAGTGACAGGCAGTGCACACAGAGAGGGAGGAGGGGGCAGAGGAGGAGAAAGATGCAAAGTGCAAAAAACAGGTTAGAAACGGTGGTGCCACCCGCGCCAAGCAGACCTCTCCCCAGGACGCCAGACACAGACAGCAGCACACGCCAAGACCACAGAACACACTGCAGAGTGCAGCTCAAGACAACGGGCAGCTCCTTGGCTTCTTGCCCCCAAAATAAAAGCAAATGGAGGGCGCAGGACCTCCGTTCTTGGGATGACCTAGACGAGCACTCTTCCTTACATGCCAGCCTCCCAAGCTCCGGTCCCACCAAGGGGCAGCAAGGAGATGGAGCAACAGAACAGGCAGACGATACAGGAGGGGGTGGAGAAGTATGGCAGCGTGGCGGGGCAGGACGGGCACCTGAGACCTGCAGTGCCCCCCAGAGTACCGACAGCCAAAGGAACAAGCAGGGGTTGGGGTTCATAAGGACGTCAACAAACCCAGCCCTCCTTACGCTCATTCTCGACAAGTCCATGGGGCTGAGGCTCCCCCACAGGCTATGCCTTTAATCCCACTCCATGGGCTGCAGAAGACACCTCACCACACCCTGCCCTCACCCACAGCAAGTTAGTGCCTCCTAGGGGCCTAACTCTATGTCCCCAGGCAAGAGGGGGCAGCAGAGGACAGGCAAGCCCAGCTCGGGTGTTGTGTACCTTGGGAGGCCAGCATGGCACCCGCTGTTTCCTGGAAGTCCAGAAGCTGCTGCAGGAAAAGGATGGCCTGGTGGAGAGAACAGACCCAAGAGGGTCAGGGTAGGCCCAAGGCAATGGCTTCCCCCACACACCCTATCCAACCAGCAGGGCAAGTCTTCACAGTGCCAAGAGCAACTGGAAATTTCAAGTGTTATCTTTGCACTCTGGCTGCCCGAGAGGCCCTGTGTGCTGCAGAAGCTAACCCTCCACCACCAATGCCTGCTCACGAAGGCCAGGAGCTCTGGGCAGGCTGGTTCCCAGTGTGGTACCCCGAGCCGAGCCCGAGCACCCTTGTCCCACTCCGGCAGTGTCTGACTGGACCTACGTTGCTTGTGAGCTCATGCACGGTGCCGTCCTTGGGCATGTTGTATTCTTTGTCTGGATCATTCTGTGGGAAGGAAAAAAGAACACCCTCTGAGTCCCAGAAAGGGCTCCCACCAGTAGCCCCGGCTCACCCTGAGCCCTAGTCAGCCTGCCTATGGCGCCACCTCCTGGTACATGGGTGTGAGGCTGTCCCTCAGCCTCAGAAGCTGAGCAAGACACAGGGATGTCAGCCCCAGAGGGCTTCAGTGCCAGGGAAGCAACAGAGGAGCCCCGAGGGCCCCCCCAGAAGCCAGCAGCGCAGGGGCTTTTCTAAAGAGCAAGCCTGACTCTCTTGAAGGGCTGCTCTCTTAGGAGTCCCCAGAGCTCAGTGAGCAAGCCAGGCCTGATGGAAGGAAAGGGGCTGTGGGCACCTTAATGTTGTCAGCAAAGTCTTCTAGTGCTTTGGCTCCAATGGTCTCCATGGAGGTGATGAGGCCAGGCAGCTTGTTCTTGGTGCTGGCTGCTGTGCCCTGGGGAAGGACATGGCTGACATATTCATCATTCATCACTGCCCTCTCCAGGAAGCTGTAGACCTAACTCCTTCCAGCTCCTTCTCCACCCTCACTCCAGAAGCTGCATTCTCCAGTTCCAGATTAGCTACAGCTCTTCTATTACCCCCTTGTCCAAAGCCTCTCAGGAGCCACCTCAGAAGAGAGGGAGGAGACGTTGGAATAGTTTCCCAGAATGAGTACGGGGAAGCCGTGTGAGAAAGGTCCTTAGGGCCTCCCAGCCCACATACCTGGAGCACCTGGTCAAACTCAGGCTTGGTCTGCTTGAGGTGCCGCAGGATGGGGAAGACTGTGAGCACTGTGGAGAAGTCATGGCGGATGATGGCTTTCCTGGCAGCCGACACGATGTTCTCCCCTTCAAGCATCAGCCCATCCAGTGCATCCTGGAAGAAGGATAAGGACCCTGCTCATGCAGGCGCAGAGCAGAATTGGTTCCTAGAGACAGTGGGGGCACCTCGTGGGTGTGAAGGGGAGCCAACATGCTGTGAAGGATGGGGGAGGGGGTCGTGGACTACACCACACAGAGTCGCGGGCTCAGGGCACGAGGTCTGCCCCACCCTCTTGATTCTGCAGAAAGTTACACGGGTCAGTGCTCAGAGCTGCAGGGCGAGCAGGTTAAGACCTGAATCAAGGAGTCGAAGGTTCTCTTCTGATGGTGCTCGGGGATGATGTCCATCAGTAGCTGGTATTCACTCTGGGCCAGCTTGACGAAGGCACTGACACAGTGAATGTAGGCGTCTGTCTCCACATCCAGCATGTCATCTCTCCCTAGAGGGACGGCAGTGCCCTGAGTGGCTGGTCTGGGAGAGCCACGCACTCCGCTGGGGTCTGAGTGTCTCGAGTTCCTGGGCTGAGCCCAGACCAGCAGGAAGTAGACAGAGGCAGACTACTGCTCTGACAGGCCTGGGAGATGATGCCAAGTCCAAACACTGTCCTGGCATCTCTTTCCACTCAGCACAGGCAGTGTTTATGGCTCCAGTCAAACACTAGAGGTGGTGGCAGAAAGCTAGAAGGAAGGAAAACTCCTGGGTCTGAGGATCCTGAATTGTGCTTGGAGGAGGACAGTGTGGGACGGGCAGGTGGCAGTGTCCACTCTAAGGATGGAGTCACTGCGGTCCTCAATCTGGGAGATGGTTCTTATGAAGGTCATTGCCAATCTTACCAGACCCTAAAAAGTGTAAGGGAGTAGTGGGCTATGGCCTCTGAGGCTGGCTGCTGTGTGTGTGTGTGTGCGCGCG